ATGAAATATACAAGAGATACATAAATAAAGACGATTAAATAAATGAGATATACAAGAAAAGTCAGTATGGGTACATTTGGGTAATAATGTGTTTCCAGTCAAGGTAGCTATACTTCTTAAATTGTTGAGTTCTGATTACATTTCGATTACATTCCATAATTTGGATCCCCTATAATTTGGATATTAATATCCAGTTTGCCGAAAAATTTTAAAGGGGGTGTCACACCCACCCACACCCTGTAGCGACGGGCTTGCCCATCTCGCATCTTCCACCTGTAAATGTGCAACCAGTTATAGGTTATGGGATCTGAAGTGAATCCACGCTAGCATCTGTTTCAAAGATGTCATCTCAACTGACATCAACCAGTATTATGATTGTTCTAATTTGAAAACAATATGCAGTCTGGACTTTGGAGATGAAAGTACAACAGAGGATGGTTATAGAGAATATGTATATAGAGGAAATGGATAGTACAACACACACTTTAGAGAACAGCAATTTTCTGGAAGTAACTGGGGAAATGTTGTCAGTATCACTTTTTCAGTGAACATAAACTTTGGAGGAAAGTATTTTCTGAAAGTAACTGGGGAAATGTTGTCAGTATCACTTTTTCAGTGAACATAAACTTTGGAGGAAAGTATTTTCTGAAAGTAACTGGGGAAATGTTGTCAGTATCACTTTTTCAGTGAACATAAACTTTGGAGGAAAGTATTACCAAAAAAAATGTTGATATACTGTTTCTGTTCTTTATTAAAGAGGGTGGTTTCAACTTCGAACCATTTAGTGTCACTACTGTGTATATGACATGATTTAAAGATATCCATCATCATTATACTTTGTTATTACAAATATGTCCAACGATTTTCTGTTATGGAAACATTAATGAACATCATTTAATTCCATCAATTCAAATTTTATTGTCCAATTATTGGAAATGTGTTTTGTTCGCATGTCAATACAGAGTTAAAGATTCTAAACATCAATAAAATACAGATGGATACAGAATAATACAATTGATTTGAACATAGATAACACGAAATGCGATAGCACAAAATGCAGACCGAAATTCAATTCAAATTTCAGACTAAGTAATTAAATTAAATTCATCTATATATTGAATGAAATGTGCCGTAGTGTGTTGTACTCTTTCCTTTTCTTATCTCGAAAATACGGCAATTTTAGGAGATATATATGTATATTCTGCCAAGATTTATGCTTGATGCAAGATGACTTTCTCGGGTTTTTCTGGAGCAAGATGGACACAAGGGATTCTTAAGGGTAACGAGGGTCATGACACTCGAGAACCATTTATCTGCTTGCTTTTGCATGTATGCAAGTCTACATGTCTTGAATTTCTACGGAAAATATTGAAAGCGCGCGAAGGGAAAGGAGAGAGAGAGATAGAGAGGGAGAGAGAGAAAGAGAGAAAAGATGATATGAGATGAGAGAGAGAGAGATGAGATGAGATTAGATGAGATGAGAGAGAGAGAGAGAGGGAGAGAGAGAGAGAGAAGAAAAAGAGAGAGAGATGAGATGATATGATATGAGAGAGAGAGAGAGAGAGCGAAGAGAGAGAGGGATAAAGAGAAGAGAGAGAGAGATAGAGAGAGAGAGGTGAGATGAGATGGGGTGAGAGAGAGAGAGAAAGAGAGAGAGAGAGAGAGAGAGAGAGAGATAGGAGAATAGAAAAGGGACAGATAAACGGAGAGAAAGTAGTAGAGACAGAATGGATTAGAGAAAAGGCATATGGTACCTGTATAATAATTATTCAGAATGTAGTCTTATTCTTGATATAATAAGCGTGTATTTACATATATATCACTGTCATGATTGAGGGGGGGCCGGGTGGGGGGGGGAGGGGTGTACACCACCTGACAGTTTTTATGTAGTTTAAGTTCACTTTTTATGAACATTTTATTTTGCTTGCGTAATATATCTGGGCACACAACGTGCTACAGACCATTGGTAAGTTGTATTGTTAGTTTTTTGTTTTTTCCTTTCATGATACCTTGAAAGGGGGAAGGGCGGCTTCTCTTTATGCTGGCTAGTGGATACGCCATTGCATAAATTCGTATTTTAAACAAGCAGTTTGTTCGGAAAATATGAAATTAATATTGTAGAGCTTTGCAAAAAAAAAAAAAAAAAAAAATGGTCCTCTACAAGTAAATCTTATAATTTAATTCCTTCATAACGTCTGCCTAACATGTCATTCTGTACATTTTCCCATCAAATTCACAAAACCCAGAACTCAATGCCATCCCGGAAGATAACGATGATTGAAGGTATACAATTAAAAAATAACGAAACCTTCATGTTTGGATAGTATATAGTTGGAAGCAGGGCAACCCTCAATGATCAATCGTCCATAAACCTATGGTCGAAAAATAACTCTACATAATTGTGGAGATGAGGTTTTGAAGTGGATGTTCAGCGAAGCATGACATAGCTGGTAGGGTTCTTTTCATTTTAAAAATGTCAGATATATTATAATACAGGGGCAGCGCATAATTATCTGTGAGTATGTAATTCGTCTAGTCAGACAGCAGTCATGTGCATGTGGGGAGAACTGAGGAAAAAGAGGATGTTTCGTTGTATCTCTGATAATGGCTGGAAGATAAATATTTCGCATTTTGTATTCATTATACCATCTCTTACATTACCATTATATGCATCTGCGACAACATTTTACAATACTGTGTTGAAAATTTAGCACCCCTATTTTTTTTTTTGGGGGGGGCTGGGGTGTATTTTATTCGGAGAAATTAGGGTGATTTCAAACCACATTAAACATTTTCTATCTGAAAATCTTTCGACCCTTGGGTTAAAACTTTTGCTCTGGTTGTTGGCAAATTTTAGCCCAACGTACCCCTATTTAAAAAGAGAGAGAGAAAAGGAGACTAAAGTAAATAGAAATAAAGAGAGACAAGTAGGATGGGGGAGAAACGAGCGATGCCAGCAAACAGAATAGAGATTGAAAGAACGCGCCCTATAAATAGAAAAAAATTGAATAAGAAAGTTAAAGGAGGGATAGAATCGTACGAGGAGATGATGGAGTAGCCCAACCAGATTATTTTCCAAAACGTTGGAACAGATGGGTTACGTTGTGGGTCACAACCAAAGACCATACACACCATGCATCACCGAGGAGAAGATGTCAAATCTTGCATTCCAGGAGGTAAAACCTAAATCTACCTTTACTCAAAAATTGAGACATTACTCTCGTGTTTATATAAAACGGGAGCGACCATCTCCAAGGCAAAACTCCACCTTGCGGACTGCCCCATGTATGAGGGGGAAAAGGATAACACTTTTATATTAACCGGCTCCTATTCGTGTTCAGTGAAGAGGGTAACTGAACTTTCCCTTCGAAACTTCACATCAAATCAAAATTTACTCTATTTTACCCAGTATAGACAGAATGAAAACTAATACCCCCTTCATTTTATCTTTACAAACATTATTTTACCTACTCACTCATGTAGAAAAACTTAAAGATAAAGACCAGTTTTGGAAACGCCCCAATTTCAAAAAATGAAATGGAAGCTCTCATTACCAATCATGTGAAAGAATATGTTTTGACTAATACATGATGATAAAAGATTTGCCGGGAAACCGCCTACTAATTCATATATTTGGTAAATTTGTTTCTCTCATGGTCTGTGAGAGATATAGGGTAGTCCCATATACATCTTTCTGTGTATAGTGCTTGTAACTTTACCAAGAATGGGCCAAATTTCTTATCATTTTGATGATTCCAGAACCTTGCAGATGCTAGATGCTAGATGATCAACCTTTTCTGATCGATTCCACAACGTTTCTTTCACAATGCAATCGCATGACCATAACTGGTCTTTACCTTTAATTTCGTGAAGGCCGGTGAGAAACCATGCCGTTGGGAGATAAGCTATTGCTTTTTTTTTAACAAATTAACAAATATTTCGACGTTTCAAAAGTTTGCTGGGCAAATACATAGATATTAAACAAAGTATAACAAATAATGCCCAAAAGTATCCTGAAACCTCGATATACATAATATATAAAGGCCTATATACAATGGATATTTCTGCACGTACATTATGATAAACTTTTAAAAACCTTCATAAATACGAAATGGTACCTTTAATGTCATTTTATAAAAACTTGTTGAGCTTGTTTGCATGGGGTCTAGGTCTATAGAATGTCACGGGAAGCGTTGATAGAAATCAGCTAAAATGTACGATCCGCTTGATCTCTCTGCATCAATTTTGTTTGGCATAAAAATGAAGGTATTTGGCACAGTTAGCCTTGCAGAATAGGAGAAAGGTAGGGACAAAGAGAGAGAGGACGAAAGAGAAGAAGAAGAAAAAGAAGGAAAGAGAGACATTGAGAGAGAGAGATGAGGGAAGACTTGAAAGGAGAATGTTTGAGATACCCCATGCTATTTTCAAGTTCACCTAATTAATGACCTTAACTCTGTATGTAGCCTACTGTGATGCTTCCTCATATGTAGAGCTTTTACGAAGAATGTTGTATCTTGGATGTGATCCAGTGGTCGCAAGAACTTATTCACTTGAATTGTGAATACATCTAAGAGGAATCTATTTTTACGAAGACGCAGACGTTGTCCCGTCTTCGTTTTTTTCCTTCAAGAGGTTGTAGGCGTATACAGGTTGGCTAGTACACCTTTACAAGCTAAGAGGGTTACTTTTGACAGAGAAAATTATGTTATTTAGGGTAAAGTTTAATAAACGTATCCCAACTACATTTCGAGCTGTAATGATACCATAACGCTTTCACCGATACAATTATTGATTTTTTTTTTTTAATCGAACCCCACCTTCCACAAAAGGTCTTTCTTTATTCGAAAACAGACTTACAGAGAAGGATCGCAGAAAAATCGCTACAAGAACCTATACACATCGCTTGGCTATGAGAAGCGAAATCAATGGGAATAAAGCTTATCGTTGTGATCATAATTGTCACATTTCATCTTCGTATTTAATATATAAAGTATATTTACCTTTGAAAAGAGGGCATATTTTCCATACTCCCAGACCACCTAGACTGAGTAACTGACCCAACGATGTCTCGAAGAGGAACACGGGTATGCCGGCGACAATCAGTGTCAAGAGATAGGGCAACAAGAATGCACCTGGAAAAATAAAACAATTTCATTTCATGTTAAAAAATATAATTGATAAGCCATTAACATTGATTTTGTTATTTTCGTTTTTTTTTAAATAGTTTTAGTTGACAAATAACAAAAATATTACCACCAATTTCAATGAAGCAGTTGTGAAATCTCATTGATTTGTCATTTTCATTTTTTAATTTCAGTTAATAACATAACAAAATATTTCCAACAATTTTAATGGAGCAGTTATGAAATCTTTTTATTCTTAAAGAAGAGTATTAAACAAAATTATGGCAACATTTAATTTCAATGACCAGATAAAGATATTTTATAACAGATTTGAAGAACATAACCATTCACATTTCATTCCTTTATTAGTAATCCCACTGATGGTAAACTAATCGTAATGCATTGCCATTTGCTAGTATTACACCATTTGCATCTGCATATGACAGATGCTTGTTAGAAATGATATAAATAAATACTCCGATTTGACGGATGACCAACTCCCTATCTTGACCCTCCACCCATCAATATTATCGTGAGAAAAAGAGGGAGCTCTACGTATCCTGTTATTCAAATATTTCCACTCCCGGATTCGTTTCTTATTTTTCTCCCCTGTTTTTAATGAAAGCTTATGATGCCGTCCAGATCATGGAATAAGGAAAATGCAGAGCCTTAATATGATTCGTCTGTCATTGCCTGGCTAGAAAGATGGTCCATCAAATTGGAAGATTTGCTAAATTGGATTAAGGTTCTCATTGATTGACTGATGATGGATTGAGGGGTGGGAGGTAAAGAGGGAGACAGAGAGAGAGAGAGAGAGAGAGAGAGAGAGAAGAGCTGATGGGAAACGAATTATGGATCCAACAGAACGGAGTAATGGATGACCACCATTCCTCTTCAATTTAAAGCTAGAATATTGACTCGATGTCCGTCTTATAAACTTAGGTTGCATAGTTTTGCCCTTTTGGCATTTTCGTGGACGAGCTATAATAACATCGTTAAAATTAAACTGGTAGACAAGAGACAGAGTTGAAAATAATTATGCGTAAAAAAAGCCCTAATAGTGTATTTAAACAAATAAAAATTGAAGAATGTATATATTTGTTCAGAGATTAATATAATATAGTTGCCCCCCCCCCCCCTTAAAAAAAAATCAAACATGGATAACTTGAACTGGATGGAATGGTATTGCAAATCTCAGCTCAGGAGTTATGCGAGATTCAAATTCAGTTTCAGTGGACAGGCCCATGTACATTTTTCAGCTCTAGTGCATCTTGAAATAATGAATGGTCATTCTATTTTAGAACAGACATAGCCTTGGTGCATCTTTGTAGCCTCCCATGTTATGCTATCATAAACTGTAACCTTTTTAGGTTACTGGTCAGCATGCCCGCTGCGCCCAGACGGACGAAAAACAAAACTTGCGTCTCGACCATTTGCGGGCCCATTTTAGTCCTTCGAAATACACGACCTTAGCTTTGACCTCTGAAAGGAACCAATTTCACAAAACAAGCGCCACCTCCGGGGATTCTTCGACCTCTAAAACGTTTCAAGTAAAGTTTCAATTACACCCCGATTGCTTTGAACGTCTTGTTTCGTCTGATACACGTTCAATCATTCGTCTCAAAGGAACACTAAGGGGTTTCCTTCACCCATACCTTGAACAGGCAGACAACAAAACCCAGTAAAGAGTGTGATCTATTTATATCACGGATATTACGACTGGCTTATTCCTACCAAGGGTAAAACATGAATTATTCTAATTAATGAATAAACGTCATGAGGAAAGAAAAAGTAGAAGTATAAGAACATTATAATATATTGTATTCCAGTATTGTATCAAGTTTGTTTGAAAAGTATGTCTGATGTCAACTTGACTTCAAATTCACAATAAAATGGCATTTCGACGTTCATTTGAGAAGAACAGTTTGAAATCAAAACAAGTCGAAAGGCATCAACGAGGAGAAAAAGCAGTTTAAAAATTGCTTTATGGTTTGAAAGACTCATTTACCTTTAAAATCATTTCCTATTTTCATTACAAAAGCATCACCAAGGTGTTTTTCTTTGGAGTCAAAAGTTTCCTAAGACCTCCGATCATGCAGTTCCTTTGTATTTCCTTCATTCATTATTTGTCGTGTTATTTTAAGCAATTTGAATTTTCTACTGGTCAAAATAAGCTGAAAACCACTTTCTCTCAGCAGACACGTACGGTCAGTTATGAAAGAAAATGAGAATGAGATCAGGTCATACAGTAAGGGCGGTTAATGTAACTATCCGGTAGAAGGATAGTATAGAATAAGAGTTGTCTGATATGCTTGTAATAATAATAATTAGAATGATGATGATGATGATGATGATGATGATGATGATGATGATGATAATGATAATGATAATGATAATGATAATAATAATAATGATAATAAGTAGCAAATACAATATTAGCTTTAATTATAATTAGTATGATAATAATAATATAACTAATAGGCTAATAGTAATTATAATAATATCAATAATAATAATAATGATAATGGCTTTTTATATAGCACACATGCCCGTCACGCCGTCACGCTCCTGGCGTTCCAATACTAAAAACCCTGTCAATTAAAGCTGCCAGCAAATATATGTCTAGCAAATCGGGCACTTATTTACACCTGGGTGGAGAATGGCAAATTTGGATTAATGTCTTGTCAAAGGACATTAGTGCCGGGCATGATTGTGATTCAAACCCTCATACCACTATACCACGACACCACCACACTAATTTACGAAACTTTTATCATTTTCAATATTTGTTTATAAAATATTGTTGTAGTTAATATACTCAGAACCAATTTATAATAGTATTGGTAAAAATATGAAAATGAATTGCGTCTTTGGTTATCAGCCAACTTCGGTATACATGTTCAAAATTCAATTTCGTTTCATCGTTTGTAGCCATAGTGATTATTCATGGCGTGGACCGCAGGCTATTACATCTTTTCTTTCGCGTTTCGTCAACGTTGGAGGCAAAACAGTGTTCCTCTCATTAAAGATCACAAATAATCACGTACTGCTCCTTTAACACGAGGATAAAGACCATTGATATTCACCCTCCAATCCATCACCATTTGATACTGACGTATCTGATGTTTGGAAAATTCATACCAGGTTCGAAATAAATCTTTCCTGGTTGCTTTTCCTCCAATGCTGGGAATAATTCGTGTAATTCTGTTTTCCTAGAATCATTAGTATCGGTTGCTGGACCCTAAAGCCATTGTTAGCTTCCATCTAAGGTCTTTCACACCAGCGATTTAACTCTAGAATAAGTCTAAAACGAGTTGACTTCGTACAATTGTTTCCAGCTAATCGTATACATGTAGTCCCTCCGATATTTGAAACTCGTGATCTATAAGAAAACTTTTAAACGATCAACTTCAGAAACGTGAAATGTTTTTGAAATATTTCCTTTCAATTTTAAACCATACCTCTGACTTCAATATTATTCATTGATATCTACATGTTCAAAAATTATTTTCGCGTTAAACTAAGGACATGCTTCAAGAAGAATGTTTTTGAGAGACATTTTTCGAACGTGGTTCGATCAAAGAAAGCTCTTGTTCCACTAAATGCACAATATTCTCCAAAAGAAATTTCAGCAATGAGATTCTACATTGGGATGTTTATATGGTGTCCAATGTTGTGTGGAGAGACACTTTCACATTTTTTGTCGGTATCTGACTATCTCACTACGTGCCCAAAGTCAGCTTTTAAAAGACAGTGCTTTACTATTCACTACTGTTCTGTCGAATTTCCTTTCTAAGGATAGTATCAACCTTGTGTGCATATTTAAAAGGATTGGGTTAGGCTTTTGATCATTTATAGTGCATCCACTGCTGGGCTGCTGTCTTCATAAGATAAAATAGGGTTAGATGGTATATTGTTGACATCGTGGCAGTGAACGAGAAAATATGTAAAATTTCCGCAACAATCAAATATTGTGCAGCGGCCGGACTACCGCTGTGTTACACATACATGATACATACGATATAGATGGGTTAATACTTTCACTTCCTCGATCCCTGGATATCTAATTAAAGTAACATGCAACGAAAATTAGCATTTTTCTCTCCAAAACCTGTAATTATAAGAGCGAAGATTCCTTTGGCTAATCAATAAAAAGACCATTAACGTAACGGACTCTCCGTCGCAGAACCCCGGCATCGCCATCCTCCGTTTAGAAGACCGATCTCGAACCGACAGGCCGAGTCGCCGAGAGCATGATTTTCCTCGGGAATCTAATTGTTTCTAGCTAATGTGTTTACTTTCACCTTCCCAGGTACCTTCCATCTGCCCTAGAATGCTTCAATACTAATCTTACAAAACTCTTCTTTGTATTTACTCATGTCTCTGTCATGTCCGTTGTTAAATGTATCACTGTGGTGTGTGCGACTGTGGGTGCAAGTCTACCTCGGGAGATTAAAGCCCCACTGCACTACGTATAACTACTTGCGCCCTCTATATAGCAAACAATGCCTAATCGGTGACCATTGGTCCCCAATGATCCCCTTTTTCTTATGTTAATTGAGAGCTGATTTGATGAAATGACCACCTGTCAGTGACCATGAAGGGGGGTCTAATCCCTCCTGGACAAACAAGTACAGAGGGGCTTTAAAATAATCTATTCAAAATTAGTCAAGATTCAAGATATTAGCACAACAATCTATTAGAATCTAGGCAACAGGTCAAAATAACAAGCCATGAGGAGCATCAAGTACTGCTAATAAAAAATCCATTAGATTCCATCATATATGTCATAACCCGAAAGAGATGCACTTTGAGAATCGTAAACATGATTGTGATGAGAAAACATAAACAATCGGTTGATAATCGACCTTGAGGATGTTCAACGATGGTTGAGGCAACGCCCATGATACATAAATATTTTCCGACTTGAAAACATGTAGCAAACCAACAGCCTTTTCACACACAGCTAAAATTCATCGTATCTAGAGATGATTAGTATAAACGTGTTT